TCACGCTCTTGTCTGAGAATCAACGATCGGATGACGAGCTCTTCCAATACCGCAACGAGGACTGTTCTTGACGTCTTCAAGATGTCCCCCTTCCCACTGGCACTGGCACCATAACTTGCGACCTTTCTACCGTACACGAACGTCCTTTTGTCCCAGTAACTATACGACGACGAGTGTTCAACGCTCTTCACAATCTATCCCACCCTGGAGCCCGGGCGACAGTGAAACTCATGACTGACTATTCGTCTGGCCCAACATCAACCGGGATGTACGGCGTTAGACCCGATCCTGTCTATTATGTCAGCAAGCCAAAACGCATCGGCATACTATTACTCCGCCATGTACTTTCGCCACTCCTGATGCACGTTTCAGTCATGTGCACATTGACCTGGTAGGTCCGCTTCCACCATCTAACGGTTCTGCCTATATGCTGACATGGATTGACCGCTTTACTCGGTGGCCATATGCTGCGCCCATTCCGGACATCAGTGCCGAAACCGTAGCAAAAGCTTTCTTGACTCATTGGGTGCCCAATTTTGGAGTTCCTGCGACTGTCACCATTGACCGCCGATCCCAATTCGAGTCCACGCTGTTTCGCGAGCTCACATACCTTTTCGGTACCAACCGAATTCGAACAATAGCATATCACTCTCAAGCAAATGGGCTCGTCGAGCGCTTCCATAGACAGCTCAAGACTTTCCTAATGGCCCAGCGCGATCCTTCCCGATGGTCTAATCACCTTCTCCTGGTGCTGTTGTCCCTCCGTTCCACTCTCAAGACCGACATCGATTGCACTGCAGCTGATCTTGTCTACGGAACCGCCCCACGACTGCCCGGTGATTTAGAGTCTCCTTCAAACACTAACGTTTTTTGAACCTTGCAGTTATGTGGAGCGATCACATAGTGCCTTGCGCAATCTCCGCGTAACACCATCTAGGACTTCACCAGCCCGTTCGTTCATCCCTCCCGACCTGGATAAGTGCGATTTCGTCTTGGTTCGACATGACGCTGTCCGACAACCACTCCAACCACTCTATGACGGACCGTATAAAGTCCTTCGTCGATCTGACATAGATGTTGTCATCGACCGCAACGGCAAGACCGACACAGTCAGCATTGATCGCGTAAAGCCGGCCTACATCGACGATAGTGACCATTCCTCACCCTAACACTGTACCCGGCCGCAAACAGGGATGCCTCCACCTACTGGCGACAGTCCGCCTCCAGTTCATCGCACACGATCTGGTCGTCACGTTCACTGGCCCGACAGGTTTGTAGCTGGCCAGGATGTCGACGACTTCACTTCGTTTGGTGTCTGGAGGGAGTTGTAGCAGACGCTCCAGTCCCCCTTTTCTCCGGCTCCGTTTTGTCGGTCGATGGCCGCGACAATCTCTGCCAGGCCGATGACACACGGCCACCCCCGCCGGCTAGAACTGGAGCCCCTCCTGTCCAGCTGCAGTGACTCCAGGCTGCCATCACAAACTATCATCACCTCACGCGCGTCGAACTCTCTGGCTAAATACTCGTGAGCCCCTGTGATTATGCGTCCCCCCTAATCCTCCCCTAATCCGTTCAATCCCATGACCAGCACTCAGCCAGTCACCCCTTCTACTACTGACACAGACTTTTACCCACTCGTAAACGACACACTGCGACTGACACTCTCCGAGAACGGACGCTTATCTCTGTTGCAAGCAAACAACCAACTTACGGCAACCTGCCCTGTGTACAGAATAAACTAGTCCTCACAGCTCCCTGACTTCTGACATTAGGCGAAAAGAATTTATTGTGCGTGGCTTAAGTTGATCTCACATCCGTGACCGCCACAGTGTATCCACTTCCACGGCGATTCGGGCATAAGGCTTCAGATGCACCTTTGTTAAGGTCTTCGGTGTTATTTGGCACACGTGACAAGCTTTTACCGCATTTTCAATATTTGCGTCAATTTTGGGCCACCAAACATAACTGCAGGCGAGAGCTTTTGATCTAACTCTACCAGAATGAGCACTATGCAGGTCACTGAGGATGGTTCGTTGGCCTTGTGGTGACACAACCATAGGTTTGCCCCGTAGTATGCATCCGTTTTGTAGACTCAATTCTTTCTGACGGCTGAAGAATGACTGAAAATCGAGGGAGATAGAGGACGGTCAGCCAGATTGCAGGGATTTTTTATCCGACTTTTAAATGGGACCTCTCGATATCCACTGTCGCATTTGTCGACATGTTACAGGTGCGTAGACTAGGTTCTGCAAAGATTCACGGTCCCAAAAACACGTGCCCCGTTAACGCCATGGTCTACAATGGGAATCCTACTCAAAGGGTCAGCCACTACGTTTTCACTTCTTGTAACGTATTTCATTGTATATGTGTAAGCAGACAGAGTGAGTGCCCATGGTTGCATTCTTGGCGAAGACATCTGTTTTATCCATAGTTTTTTCCGAGCAAACCTAAGAGGGGTTTGTTATCAGTGTGAAACCCGAAGGGTCGACCAAAAGATACAGGTGGAACGATGTAGGCCAAAAATTATTGCTAGGGCCTGTTTATCTAGTTGCGAATAGAAGTCCATAAAGTGGCCTTAGAATTGTAGCCGATAGATTCATAAAACGACTGAAGTGTGCAACTAACCCAAGGAATGAACGCAATTGACTAGTATTGTTGGGGCGCGGCGCCGTCTTCAAGGCTTTGAGCTTATTTTCGAGTGAAAGGAGGCCAGGTTTATCCAGTTTCTCCTATATTCTCATTCTCATGGGCTTATATGCCAACATAGTGCGATGACGTTCGAACCTTAGTCTCCGAAGAAGGACGGATAAAAATGTGTTCGCACATGCCAGATGAGGCTACGGAACATCGATAACAGTATCTTTGCCGCAAGAGTTAGGTGCAGAGCGTAAACACGAACACTACTGACTACATGACAATCTTGTTGAAAAATGAACTACTGGTGAAGGCAACTTCCCCGTGGGTATAGAAATCGATGCATCAAAGAACTGATCGTCGTCCGTACACAAATTTCTCCATCGTGCCAATATAACAGTTAAATTTCGACAAAGCGCGATTTTATTAATTTTTTCCAAAGGGCATTCAGGGTTATCATTCTATCGGTCGCCAGTAAGTCTCAGAAATAGTGTGTAAGTTTCAGTTTTTAAAACGTTTTACTGCACTAAATGCCTTACGAGAATGCTCAGAGGTCATCTCGTTTCTCGTAGCCTGTTGAAACACAATGGACGACGCAAAGCCGGTGTGTTCTTTTGTGCGTAGACGTAATAAGGCCTCATTGAGAACAAGAAAAAGTAGAGCCTCTTTTGTTGTGTTTACTTTTTAGAATCCTCGAGCAGTGAAGAAGATGTGCAGATAGTTCGTAAGAAGGGCAAAATTGAGTCGAATCCTCTTATTCAGCATGTATTTTCTTATTTTGTTTTCCAATGATTAAAAGACCTCACATTTCGTAGCAAAGAGGAACAAAAATTCGAACGACGAAGATTCTGACGAGGATGCGCCGACTTCAGTGGCCTTTAAAGCGAACTACGAGCCAGTAACAGTTTTAACCCGCTCGAATATCCGCCTTTAGACTCACTCTGGTCCCAAAGATCAAGGCGCGACGGCCACCTCTGAAATTGACACTGACTTCACCCATGATGCCCAGTCAATATTTCTACAGGCACAAAAAATCGATCGGGTATGTTTTCTTTTATCATTAACCGTTTTAGGAAGTGAAATCTAACCAGGATAAGGTTTATCGAGGAATTAACAACTACGCCCGGTACATTGAGCAGAAGGATACCGTCCTCGGCAACGCTGCAAGCGGCTTTAATAGACGGGGTCCGATGCGGGCGCCGGCTCACCTACGTGCGACTGTACGATGGGATTATCAACCGGATATCTGCAAGGTTTTATGCGATAATGACCCCTTAAGATTTAGGATTACAAAGAAACTGGTTTTTGTAGCTTTGGTGATAGCTGCAAGTTCCTTCATGATCGATCTGATTATAAACATGGCTGGCAAATTGACCAAGAAGTGGCCGAAGGGACCTACGGCGTTGAAGGTGTTGACGATCGTTATGAAATAAAAGACGAGGAAGGAGACGATGACGCCGACGAGCATTTACCTTTAAAATGTCTGATCTGTCGAGGCGACTACAAAGACCCAGTCGTTACTCGGTAACTTATACTTGAATGCGTGATTTAACTTAACTAAAGTTGTAAACACTACTTTTGCAGCACATGTGCTCTGAGACGCTTCAAAAAGACAGCTAGATGCTATGCATGCACTGAAGATACGAAAGGAACTTTTAAAATTGCAAAGGACTTACTTGCACGCATTGCAGCTATCAAAGAAAAGCGCAAACTCATGTCGGAGGAAGATGAAGAGGACGACTCCGGTCATCCTGGCCATCAAGATAAGGACGACCATAATTGTCAAACTGCTCACGAACATGTACCTACTTCCCGCAGTGAGCATTACATTAGCTCATCGGAACTCGATGATAGTTCTGATGAAGATGTACCTGCAGGCAGGAAGGCAACCTATCCGACTCTTACGCGCCTGGAAGGTGCCCAACCTCAGGCCCCTGAATACTGCGACAGCGATGAGGAATCAGACTGACCATTTTGCTTGTACATACATATTTTTAATATACTGCACAGAATACTCTTCATTTTGAGATGTACCTCTATTCCGCACATTTTTCGCATAATTTATGCTTGTTTAAGAATCAATGGACGATTTTTACCAACTACTCGGTTTTGGTATGGGCGACAACCTCCAGCATATACGATCAACGCTCCGAAAGGAGATGCTTTTATGCCACCCAGATAAATGCCAATCATTGTCCGCGAACGAACAGGCAGAAAAGAGAGACCGATATGACGTGCTCCATCGAGCTTGGAGGGTTTTCGGTGACGATGACAAACGCCGTCGTTACAATGCTGTTCTGCAACAAGCAAAATTGCAAGAGAACTCAGCCCGACGTCCAGTTCAAGCCGAAGTTGCGTTCTCCGACTTTTCCGGGGCACCCAGCACTGACTACCATTCAGTAGATCCAGAAGAAGTTTTTGAACATCCATGCCGTTGTGGTGGTGCATATATTATTGAGGGTGTAGCCGTACTGGGCCGCATGCCCTACGCTTACTGCTGCCAGTGCTCGCTGGCTGTAAAGGTGGTGTACCCAGATGACCTCAGAGCCAGTTTTTCAAACTCCATTCCCCAAATAAATCGTAATCGGTGCGCTTGCCTTCTGAAAATGGCGTGTTGTAATTTGCACTAGTGACCTTAGATCAACCTTTTATAAGGAAACCAACAATAAATCATCCGAGCAAGGACACGACGCAATCAATCCTTCACAGCAGGAGTGTGCTCCTTTTCACTTGCCTGCAGAAGTCTCAAAAGAGACCAAAAAAAGGAAGGCAGTATGCCTGAAGACTGCTCTCGCGATTGTGGAGAGATGTGGACAGAATCCGATCACCTGTGAGATGGTGGCGAGCGTGGTAAGTCAATTCTCATTACTGTCGCGTTTTCCTATCTGATGTTGACTGGCTTTGAGTTAGAAGTGGATTATCTTAGCACTTTTAGTCATTTGGAAGTTTATCCCTGTCATCTTCCGCGCCAGCCATTGGCTGACTAGCGTGCCTTGTTTCCCCTACACGCTTGACGTGGTTGCCGCTGCGTCGGCGTGCCCGTTGGCTTTCCCCTCGTCAGGCGGCGGGCTGATCGGTCGTTGTTCCTCGGACGTGGTGTTTCTGGCCTCGCGAGTACGTCCGTGAGACAGTGTGCCACGCCGGTCACGTGAATTTCGGTCAGCGCCTTCCCCTCTCTCCGCGAGCGTCGGCAGTCGACCCCGTGTGACTCTTTTCATCCGTGTCATTGGCCCTGCCTGGACTGACTCGAGTCCTGCGCGAAGCTCCTGGTAGGCGGGATGTAGGTCTATGGCTCGGTTGAGCGTGCCAGTCGAGGGCCAACTTTCCAGCATCAGTCTGGCCATCTTATCCTTGGCTCTACCGACCAGTCTCGCTTCCTCGAAGGCGAAATTGTGGTTCTACTGTTGTATGCGGCCATAAACCAGCGACAGCTTATTCCTGCCGTTTGTTGCGAGCTGATGCTCAGGCAATCCTGTCCCTAGGCGTTTGCCCGTTTCACCGGCATACTTTGCATCACAATATTGGCATGGTATTCAGTGGACCACAGCTGATTGTCTTGTCGCTGGCAGCGAGTCTTTGGGCCTCATAATTCGCTCTCTGATTGTGGATGCCGGCTTATGGGCCATACAAATTCAAAAAGCTTTCAGGATTCTTGCGGCCGTCTGACGCGGCGAAGGCCGAAGAGCACAGACACATTGCACTCGTTGGTAGGACGAAAATGAGGTTGTAGTTTTTCCTTCAGCTCGGCACTCCTCTTCATTCTGACTTCTTTTCTGGCAACATTTGTTCTTTGTAGTACGGTTTCAAACATGTCTTCAGGTAAGGGTGAAAACACTGGCTTCTAAGATCGAAAATAGTTTCGGATGTCGTCCTACCAATGAGTGCAACATATCTGCGAGAGTTGTAAACCTTTCGAAAACGAGTCTAACATTTCCCGAATTAAGCCTACTGTCTGAAGCACTTGACTTCAATCTTACCGATGCTGCACCTACAAACTTCCTAGCAAGTCTTGAATCCGTCCCACTGACTTCTGCTATTCCTGAAAACGTGCGTGCTGACATACACAGTTGTGCCAATGGTCTTCTTCGACAAAGGAAACGTCACCAAAACTTAACCATCGATGAAGAAAAGGGGTTGCGATCTCTGAAAACAGTATTGTGGTTGTATCTGCTGACAAAAGTGGCGCAACTATCATTCTGGACCAGACTGATTACGGGCAAAAAGCTAGCCAAGTCTTTAATGACATAGAAACCTACACACCACTCTCTGAGGACCGGACGAACTAGCAGGTCGCGGCTGTAAAGAGGAAGGCGAATGAACTCGCTCGACTAAAGTTGATAAGTCCCAATGACTTTGGATTCATGACTCTCAGTGACCCCCGTATCGCACATGCATATGGCCTTCCAAAGGTACGCAAACCAGATGCACCATTGAGGATAATAGTGCCAGTCATTGGATCGCCTACCTACAACCTAGCCAAATGGTTATATCGGCATCTGAAGCACCCTGCCGATGGATCATACACAATACAGCATCACAAACTCTCAGACATTCCTTGAGAAGGTCCAAGGTCTTGGAGTAAATCATGATGAGAGCATTCTATTATTTGATGTGGTCGTCTTGTTTCTTCCTCAATACCGCATGACCTTGCCACTGAGAGCGTGACCCGACGCCTGCAAGACAATCCCGTCGACGTTCCAATACAACACGTCTTAGAGATGCCTCAGTAGCTATTGCTGATTCGATGGTAAGTATTACCAACAGGTTAAGGGCACTCGAATGGGTTCGCCAATTTCGGGGCTACTTGCAGAACTAGTCCTACAACGTCTAGAAGAGGGTGTTGTACAAAGCTTTCAACCAAGAATGCGGTTCAGATACGTATATGACACATACGTCATCGTAAAGACCTGTGAAGTCGAGCGATTTCACCAAAGCCTGAACGGCGCCTTCCCAGCTCTACAATTTGCTCGCGAAGAATCAAGAGCAGACACCCGTTCGTAGACGTGGGCATAAAAAGGCTTTATTGCGGTGACCTCGCAACAAGCGTTCACCGGAAGGGCTCCGACGCTGAGATCATCTTTAACTATAAGCGGCCCATAAAAGAAATTATTTTCGGACTCTTTTCCATCTGACCTATCGTTACTGCAGTACTGAGGATTTACTCAAGAAAGAACTGGCTTATCCGTATCGGTTTTTCCGACCCAATAAATACCCGGCCAGCTTTGTAACAAAAAACAGTCTCAGACTCCAGAGACAACCACAAAAAATCGACTCCAACGGAGTCAGGGCGTCACGGAAATCCTACTTCCTGCCCTACATGCCAAAAATTTCCGAATCGATCGCCTGACAAATAAATCAGTTTGGAATCTCCATCGCCCGCAAACCGGCGTCTTTCCTGAACACAAAGTTATACCGAGTAAAACATCCCATGCCGAAGGAGCAGCAAACAAATGTCGTTTGCTTCGTTCCATATACGAACTGCACTTGCGTTTATGTTGTACGTACCGGCCGACGACTTGGGACCCGCATTAACGAACATAAATTGGCCATCCACCGACTTTCTTTATGAGCCGGTTACTCGGCGCATTATGTCTCGGGAATTCAAGATTGTTACAGGTCAGAAGTCGCCAAGATAGACTGCATTTAATCTAATAAAAGCCAGTTGCAACGAGTATGTATTGGCGTTGATTTTAACTAAAAAACCGCCTGTTAGGTACATTGTTGAATTTGTTGTTTTTGCTCGCCGGTGAACCTATTAGCGCACTGATGAACCAGCCCGAAAGCTTATCCAGTATGCGTTCTCGGTTTGCGAGATTGTTCATTTTTATTAATTTTTCGGACGCTGGGTTTTTCATCCGCAACTATGAGCTTCCATAGTTTCTTTCCTGCACCAATACCCAAGCCGTATGATTTTGTCGATATCTGTCCTAGACAGGCCTGAATTAGAGTCATCCGAAGGCCATCAGTCTCTTACAACCAGCAGATGCCTCGAACAGAGGTAACTGGTTCGCACTACGGGTTTTCAAACTTCAATAAAATTCGAAAAAACAACACAATTTTGCCACAATCAACCCCTTGTCTGCAACTGTTAATTTTTACGCCAAATGATCATAAATTTGTCAATCGGAATAAGAAAAAATAAGAGCTCATTGGTCAAAAGGTGGATGACAGTTAGTGGCAAAGGTCGCTGTAATTCTAAATGTTTACAAAGGTGGTTTGCTTATCTTTATAGACCATAACTGTGGCAGGGGAAACTGTGGTGTGAGGGAGTTAGTTGTAGTTCGTTCGGCTCCGGCCTTCATACCAGCCGTGAGCCTTCTGTATTCAGCCTCCATCGCTGGAGGAGGGAATGGGTCGAGCTCTCCATATCCGCTGCCGCATATCGTCACGCGTAAAGATGTACACTTCGCGAAATCTTAGAGACCGGTCATACAACGCATGGTCACAGCTGTGACGAGTACAGGTACAGTCTTGAATCCGTCCTATCTTCGGCAAACTTCATGGAAGAGGAGTAGCTCATAGTCGGTAGTAGTACTATGCAATCCTCAAGGAGCCGGAATAAATTCACAGTACTACTTGCGACGGAAAGAAGGTGCTAAATTATGATCATCCCGCCGATAAAGTGGTTTCCACCGGTAGCTACGTAGATAAACTGGTGTATCGGCACAAGTCTGTGACTGCAGACCGTGGAAAGTCGCATAATTCGTGTGTATAGAAAGTGCTGGAACTCCAGGAGGGAAGGTCAATCTCAGGGCTTCTTGCCTTTGTCTTAAAGTAGAATGAACCAAAAATTGTCAAAGCATAGGCACTTCCTCAAGTTGAAAAAATAGGACTCCACTGCCACCGATAGTCTTTTTATCCGACACTCGGTAATTTCGCGAAGTTTATAACTTTTCCGAGAAACTGGACCTCCATTGAGGACTGAAACCAGTTTCCATTTGTTTCAGGCAAGATAATCGTGTCATTTGAAATCTTCCCTCTGTGCACTTCGATTAGGCCGTATCCAGCTAAACGCCTTACCGATGAACTCTCCCAGGCCTACGCCGCGGATGTTCGTGTAGATGCTCTGCCACAACCCTTGGATCTCTGTCTAGAAAATAATAATTCCTTAGCCAAACAACACTACCAGTAGCCAAAAACTGTCCCCCGTAGACCTATCTATATCAGAGTTTCCAGCAGAAGCCATGATTCAGTAATGAGAATTTACAGCTGTCCTTTTGACAGGAAATTTTTTCCTCTGCATGTGCTGCCGGATGTCAGAAGCTCCGGTATCCGATTAAACCGGTTTTTACATGATGCTGTTTTAGCTTTATGGAGAGAAAACCCACTCAACGAAGCCGTTTATAGGGCCTTCACTGTACAATTTTCTCGACCGGCAGTGTGCTCCGCATTTTGTTGGACGTACGTTACCTGCCTGCTTCAAAAGTGTCCGTTGTGTATATGAGTGAGCTTGGTCTTAATTTCTGTACACTACCGTTTGAGGTGTACAGCTTGGATTGTCTGACCCAATTTCGGGCTCCATGCTGGAGCTTATTTTTCCCATATCATTGAGTGTGTTTAACTTCAAGTTATTTCGCACTTCATATATTTGACTTTATTGCTTGGAACGTCCTCTCTACAAACTTACTTACGGAACGCCCGTCTTAAGATGACATGTGGGGCCTTTTACTAACTTTACTTTACTAATTTTAGTGTGATTTTCTACAATTTCGTCAATTGCCTTGATGTCTTCTGTTAATTCCAGCTTCCCTGGCTTGAACGAGAGCAGTACGACGATATACCCGTGGAACGCGTTGCTTATGGAAACTGTGGGTACTTGCTGTGTTTGAAACCGGTCGGAAATCAGTTAAAACAAACATACCGCATATCAAGTGCCTCCAGGAAAGTCTACGAAGTTGGTGACCGGAAGGTTTGTACTAATGTTTTGTTCAAGGCCTGTTCTGTTTTTTGAACGTCCTGCTTTTGAGGCCTTACTTAGTAAGAAGGTTGCGCTTTCGGCTTTTGTGAACCCACGCGACGAACGGTGCAAACGAATCATTTTTATGTATATATTATGTTTGCTTATTTCTTTGAAGTAGCCATATACGCAGAACGAACGCCAACTAAAACGAGGGCGCCGGGGACCAGCTATTTTCGACTTATTAACCATTACCGGTCAGCGATACTTTAGATACAGGTTTCGATAACTGGGACTCCTTAATCACTGTGCACTCGATCGAAGGTCCAACCCTCCTGCCACGTTTATAAATGCGCCTGATGGCGGCCGACAGGGCAACTTACCCGCAGCTCAATGATAATGCGTGGGACCTAAAAAGACTCAATGACCCAGGGAATCCCAGAATAGAGTCATCGGTTATCCAACTCCAAGGTATGACTGGCTGACGACTGTTTATAAGCCAGAGATGGTCGGTCCAATCACCTTTGTCTTGATATTCCTTCTGCATTATGAATTGTTCCTATGCTACTGCTGGAGAGCATCCTATAGTACCTTTTTAAGGCAAAACGAGGCGAAAGCACACCGGCGAACACCCTGAATCACAGAAGTTACCTGCTGCTTGTAAACTTTCCAACGTTTTTTTTTCTTTCAGTACTTCTGCTCCGATTGGTGCTACCGTGCTTCATGTTATCTCCGAAAGCAAATACCAGCTGAACCGGCCTGGTGTCGCCCTCTTAATCCAGGTCCCATGGTTAACTTGAGATTCCTTCCACCCACAGCGCATGGACTCCCAGGCAAGAAGATACTTGACGCTATGAACCGTATGCGACTGGATGACTCGAACGACGAGTCTGGAAGTGGGGAGTCTGACTCCGTTGGCAGCGACAATGACTCGAGTTTTGACGAGGGCGAGGAAGATATTCCCGAAGATGTTGATGAGGCGTTTGGTCGAGTGGTTAAAATCGATCACACCAAGTTGCCCAAGAACGTCTGTGCTAGCAAAGCGCAAATACGAAAAATGTGGAGTGAGCCACTCCCGCCACCAAAAAACATTGAAATTATTGAACGCAAGCCTTCTTCATTGGAACTGCCACAAGTACCTACAAGCGAACAGTTTACCGCAACACCGCAGCGGCCTTCGTCGCCTACCGGTGACCTTGCCACTTTCGTCACCACTCGGTTATCCGAGTGGATCACGCCTGAAGCCATCCGAGCACTGGGGTCAGAGACTGAGCCCAGCGCCGCTGAACTCGAAAAGCTACCTAAACCGGTAAAATTCGAAAAGGTCGCCGCATTTCTCAGAGGGTCTGAACCATCGTCATTCGACCCGGAAACTGATCCTGCTTCCGACCACCCGGTAAGATTTTGTCTGATTTTAGGCCTTTCGTCATTTAATGATGAGACGTTTAACAAATGCCTTTTATGATAAATTTATAATGGTGTACCGTGCCTCCAAAATGTATACTTGCGCACGCTAGGTCTGTATGTTTGATGAACTAGCTTTTTAAACAATAGACAAGAGAGCAACAGGTACCAGGGTAGTTGGTGAAGTATCTGAAGGCACAAGTGACTGGGAAAAAGATGTGTATGCTGCAAAACATGCGCATCTGCAGTCTGAACTACTCAGCTGGTCGGTCGGCCACTTAGGGTTAGGGTCGGTTTTAAAAACCAACTAGTGGCCCGTCAAAGCACTATCCAACTACTTTTTTCCTTTTGTGCCTTGACTTCTGTTCATATGGATTTGGCAGTCACCGTCTGGTCGGGGTACCACGACTTCATTTGCAGTTTAGAAGTAATTTCCAGTCCGGCTCTATGCGTCGGCAACACTGCAACATAGCAACCTGGTAATAGGATACGTTTCCAATCAATAAATTAGCGAAGACGGGTACCTCATATCGGAACACGAAACAGTGCAACTGGACTCGGATAACTATACGAAATCCTATACACCAGAGGCGTTACTAATAAAACAAGGAGAGCCGGGACGGTCATTTCTGGTTTATTTGTCCCTGTTACCCACTTTCACTCGGGGTCCCAAAGGTTCCGAGATTTTAATTCTGGTTATTTGGTCATCGAACATTCGAGCCCACTTGTCGAGCCACGGGCCCACGCCTTGTCGGCTGTTATTAGCTGTGTCCAGCACCGTGCATCCTAATCTCAGAGCCTCATATGGACAGTGTCGTCCTGTCTTGGAGCCCTAGCCGAATGCTTTTGCGGGCAGTCGCATAGCTGCGAATGATCATCAAATGTTATCATCATGAATGAGGTAGACTGGAGTGGCCGTTTTTGTTCGTCTACTGTTATGGACCAGCCATACCCCAGGACTCAGACGCGACTCTGACTATAAATTGTTCATTGCTCTGCATTGCTCTGCGGACAATGCAGAATCGCCCATATTTTTGTCCTGTAATTGAGATACTTGGTCAGTATCACCCTCCCATAATACGAATTTTTTAAAAGGTGATGTCATAGTGTGCCGAATTTCAGTATCTGACCGAATACTGTCTAACTGGCCCTCGTTCCTTTACGCATTTTAGTCGGTCACGCGACACTTCCGGTGGAACGGCTAGGAATTCCGTACTTAGCGATCACGTTCCATCAACCGCAAGTCCATCAAATCGTGCTAGCTGAGACGAATGACCACCGTTACACATGAAATGCCCTGTAAAACCATGGACACCACTGACTAAGTCCCTGTTTCTTCAAATTTTGCCGAAACCAAGCAAAAACCACTGTTTTGACTCGTCTGACAGGAAATTTTAGCAGTTTATTTCGAACGAAAGGGGCGTTTGCAGAACTGACCTAATCATAGAATGGGTTCCTGACGTCCTACTTTGCCTGTCGCCGTTCCTTTGTGTTATTTCACGCTTCCACTACTGTCAAGTTTTGTCTGCATGTCGCCGTGCTCATTTCTCGGTCACATGCCATGTTCAGCCAAAGGTTTATGTAGAAAGTGATATGGGTCAACCTGGGTTGAACGTTTCTGTGCGATGCCGTGCACGTCTCGGTCAGGACACGTCTATACGTGTAATTGCCGTTTTTTGGTTCCACCTGGTCCGTTCTCACAAGTACTGAAAAGTTTCTGATCGGTACCTGCTCAGCCATGTGTTCCACTTCGCTCCCGCACTCCCCCCTTTTTCGTCATAATCTTCGTTTAGTTGCTGCTTTTTTGACACCGAATCTCTCAGTTAAAGCATTTTTGTATCTGCTTCTTGTTGGCGTTTTTATTGCCTTGTTCGCACGATCAGATGCATGGAGTCCCTATTTGAAATCTTGATAACTACCGCAACGGTAAAGGTAGCTGATACGCCTTTTTTTCTGCCACACAAAGCTCGGGTCGACCGTCATGCCTCTGGTGGACTCCATCTCTCAGAAACAGTACCGTCTCCGTCTCCTATTAGAGTCACTTTTGCCGAGGTGGGTGAATTTCTACTCATGTCGTTTTTACTGTCCTCGGCGCAGTACTCTTCAGCGTTTCAACAGGGTTGGCCAGGGAAGGCGGGCTCTGAGCTCGTATGTCATGATTGCTAGTCAACAACACACTCTGTGACTCCCATGTTGTTCTTGTTACTACTATTATTTGTTCATTATTAGAACAGCTACTAACCGCAGATATGGCACGAGCCAGACTTCTTTGGCGCCTAAGTCGGTAATGCGCCAGCACAGTAAGGGCCAAATCGCGTAGTTAGGAAATCTGTAACCAGTGGTTCTGCTGTCAGTTGTACAAACCAGACGACCCGCTTTTTATGACGACTCTAGTTGTGCTGTTTCGGCCTACACGCCAACATTTTTGTTGAAGTTGGTAGCCGCAAACCCAGTCATGTAAGTATGGCAACTTTCAACTGCTTTGCATTGTAGTGACAACTAAGTTAACTTATTCGGTCGAAGTTCTTGGCCTTTTGAAATCCACCTCCAGACACAACATCTGGCACCCCTCTTAAAAATCGGCGTTGTCGCTTAAATCACAACGCGGGCAATCCCCCTGTCTATTGCAGCACGGCTTCTTTCACTGGGAAATAGCAGTAAGCTCTACAGCTTACATGCAAGCCTTGCTTAGAGTGCTGCCATTTTAATAGTTGCATGTGGCCATATTTCTCCTATCAACACCTGCTACCATATACAAACTGTCGTCGGCATTTGTTGGTCGACCTCTAATCTTGTTTTACAGTAGATGTGTTATCATTGCATGTTAACCAAAATTCCGAAATGTGCTTCCGACCCGAAAAGATTACTTAACTAGGGTTTTGGTACTAATTGCCGTACAGCGTAAGCCAGGATGCCGGCTTCTGAATGAGCTTCTTTTCGGCCGTCGAAAAAAGCACTTTCCTTAAAGAATAACTACTTAAGTAGTATGATTTTTTCCCATTGGTTCTTGACTCCGTTACAAATTCTTTTGCATTTCACACAAACGGGCAGAGAAATATTCCTTATTGTACTCATTTGACAGCAAATTACGTCTCCTTCGCACTTCTTACTCAAAAAGGTTATCTTTCGGTTCTAAAAAAGTGAAATTTCCATTTAACATCTTATTAGCCCGCCTGTCAATACTGCTTATAAAGTATGCAACCTGGTCCATATTCATGGCACAATTTTATGAGTGCTATATTACGTCTTCCTAACAGCATAGAGAAATGTGTGATATTCCTTTGATGGAATCTATACAACATGTTTTAAAACCCTGAATACAAACATAACGGCCGGTTGGGTTCAGAATTACTCGGAAGTTGAAAAAGTTCTTAAAAATCAAAAAGGTACTCTCTTCAAGTAGGAAATCTGACGAAGACGTGATTTTCAACCAACTGACCACGTGAGAGAACATTTTTGCACGTGATCTAATTAAATTTATACGGACATCAAAAATCAATGGGAATAATTCATATTATTCAAGCAATCATTTTTTACATAGTGTGGTTTTTTCAGACGGCCAAAAAGAAGCTTATTCAAAAGCCGGTATCCTAGCGTGAATGAAATGCCTTGTGGCTATGCTGCAAGGTACTTTCTATTGCATCCCTGTCTAAGTAATCTTTTAGAATCGAAGGCACATTGCAGAATTTCGGTTAGCATTTCTTGAGATAGCACATCTACTGTACGTGGCTGTTGTGCCATCTTGTGGGTGGTCGTCTGGTCGCGATACCTACCGCTAGAGGTCTGCATCACTGCTCTCAGGCACCAATCAGGTTGAGGTCCATCCATTTTGTTGCCATCATTCCTCCTCTAGACAGCCACTGGTCCGAGGAGGACGCCTCATCATACCGTCCGCCGGCGTCTGACCTGTTTAGAGGAGTTCACCTACCTTCCGTAAATAAGTTGTAGTCTAATGAGGAGGTTTCCGTAGGCAACGATGCATCAGACTCTACGTGAAAGTTTGACTGACTAGGCCCGAGCAACTCTTAATGTATAACAGTCGGGGCAAGATTCGGTCGGCGCCTATAGCTAAACCTATACGTTGGCGATTTGTCAGAAAGCGCTCTTCTCGGCAAGTCGAGCCAGAGCACACGCGCCATACGACGTGGTTAAGCCGTGCCTCGTAGGAAAGTCATTACGTGTGCCGGGTAGTTAGAGAAGTGTATCTTAGATTCGGAGGTGAGCGTCTACATCCACCCCTGGGGCAACAGTAGTTTGAGATCCTGGGATCTGGCCGTACGGTGGCAGGTTAAGTCCTTTTGGATAGCCTGTTGAAATCTTTGAGTTGGTTGAAAGCGCCATTGAGCGCTGTCTCAGAATTCAAGAGCCCTTACGGTGGACCGCAGAAATGTGTTTGATGCGAAATAACAAATTTACCGTTCGCAGTTTGCTAGGGACCGTAGACTCCCAAAGAGTGGATTGCTTTGTGTATTGGTGCCACCAGCCTTTCCCGAGGGACAGATTACGCATGTGAATGCTACGTACCACATCACCTTACGTTAACACCACAACTAAGAGCATGCAAGTACGCGGGGACGAGAGCGGCGATGCGCATTTTCGCGCGCCCTTGGCTGACGCCGCCCTCAGTCAGACCGTTGTTGCCGTGAGGGTGAGGGCAGAGCGAACTCAACCTCCTGTGGGGCGACTGTTCACTTCATTTTTTAAAGCTACCTGGGTGTCCAAATGTGTACAAACGCTCACAACCAGGTTGTTGCGTCAGAATTTGCTGAGCGCTATGTTAGAAAGCGAAAACCTCTTGATTTAAGTGTTTCCTGCTTCTGGTAGATGGCTGTTGGTGGGTGGTCGATGATATGTCAAGGCGCATTATCTAGGGTCTTTCCCAGTCTTGCAGCCACACTCCCTACAGCTTGAATCCAGTCGCCCTTTGTCATTTTCAGCTCCAATTTACCCATTTTTCTTTGGAGCCTTCGTCAACTTTAATTTCTTTTTTATGTACCATTCGCTTAGTTTAAAGTCGATCCTTTTCCGACTGGCGCTTCCCCTGTCCGACGTCTTTGAGAACTTGCAGAATTTTGTGGCGCACTTCAGGTAATCGTAGTTTATCCGTCCCATTGCTATCCCCTAACATCAACTGTAGTCTAACAAACAGGAATCTTCACTTGAAACCTGAGGAAGCCCTTCTCACATCAGCCGCCTTACTCTACCTTCTTCGAACTTATGTGATATGCCTTCGTACCGAGGATGATTCCTTGGAGCGGTTGTCAACCATCGTTTCGGGTTTGGGTGTGGATGCCAAGAAGTTTTTCGCATCACTTGAGAACATTGTGGCTCAGCTGAAGTCGACTCCTGAGGAGGACTTACCGGACTGATCCGTTTGGAAAAAATGCTCCAGTCCATTCGCCCCGCACATTTGTACAGAAAACCACTTTGTCCAGACACGTAATTAATTATCTTCATGTACACTTTTTGACTCTGGCCTTCCAGTGAGGTACATAGTATGGGAACATATTGCCGGCTCAGACCGATGCCCTTGGCCATCCGGATGCAGCCAATAGACGATGATTATTGCCGACAAGTACAGGAGAGGTGGACTTAGTTCCCGTCACCGACTGGTCACACCTCAACTCCAAGCTGGGCAGACCTGACATATGAACCCGGCTCAGTCGATCATTAGGAATTTTGACCAAACGTCCGATCACTTGATCTACTGATTCACCTGTTGGCTGCCATCAAGAGTATTCGCCATTACATGTTAGTGCCGTTCGCCAATCTATCAGGAAAGAATACAGACAATTTTGTTTCGCATTTTAACTCTGGCATAGAGTCTCCGCCGGATTTCGCGCAGTGCCAGCTAGCCCCAAAGTATTAACTGTAGTCTCCCTCGTCGTCGTCGTCGTTGTCGTCAACACTTCGCTCGTTGATCTCCCGTCATTATAGTTCCACCCTTGGGGCCACTATACTGGAGCTTTGAGACAGGCAAATGCCCATTTCCGTCCTGTGACCAGGATGTATTGTTGAATGCCACTCCAACTTCTGAACCAGCTAGTGGGATAGACTATTAGGATGTGTGACCGGCTCACTGTTACTCTAGCATGTCTGGAGGCGCCATTGTCACCTACAATTCCTTCCTTTTATAAAAATATAGTTTCGCCCGTTTCCGACCTTGTAAGTGTCTATTACTCATAAGCATTCAAACATCTCATCGCGCCTTATTTGTGGTTCGATTTTCCGTACAAAGGTTTCAGCCCTCTAACGTTATGTTGTCGAGATCAGGGGACCTGGCAGGCACAAAATGCACTCGTTTCAAATAGGCACCTTGTTGTTGCGGATGCCTTCCATTTTTGTGGAGGCAGAAGGCTGAATTATGCTTCTCGTATAAACTGTCCTTTCATCGAGTTCTTGGCGAGCGGACTAGTCCACCTTTGAAACTTTGTACAGTACACTTTATTCCCTGCTTGGTTTATCCTAAATTTTGCTGACATTACAAGCCTTTCGTGAAGCTTTTAGGGTATAACTACGTTGGGCGTCAATGACGTCAATTTGAATCTTATATTTGCGCAGTCCTTTCATTACCGGTTTTGGACTTTAGCGCCTGCCCATCTGCACCGCGTTGCGGTAGACTATTGTGAGCGCCACTGCCACGGAGACATGCCACACAAGACGTGCGGACTTGGCATTCGAATCGCCCCCTGTACATAGACAATAACGCATCTTGCTAATCGTGGGCCTCCGTGCCCCGAGTGGCTCAACGCATCCACGCGTGGACGCAGGGCCCCTGCTCTATCTTTCCTAAACCCAAGTGAGCTTCCGGCTACAAATACGTTGTCTCGGTCGTTACTTCGAACTGCTTGCCCACACCCTGTTGTCGTGAGGGCTGCTGCCTAGAGCAACAGCCCGCGGTTCTTTACGTGACAAATCTCTCCCTCCATTGTTTTTCGTCCGTCCCTTCTGACTGAGATCTCGTCGTGGTTGTGGTGGTTAAGGTTCATCCATTATTTTTCCCCAGCAATCTGCGGCCAAAATGCAGATAAGACCCATCCTTTTTCTAGGGTTTTGTCGGAAACAGACTTGAGGCCTAGATATAAGGAAGGACATCTACTTGGAAGTCTAGAAAATACCTCTGGTCCGTCTTTGCTGGCGTGTAATCTCTGGTGTACAATACAAATAAGCTCAAAAATCGGTCTTCCTAACTTCAGACTTGGATGCGACTATTCTGATTCGCTCTGTCACCTAGCTTCTACAGTTTGTATGACTTTAGGAAGGGCAGTCTCCGATTGCGTCATTGTGGAAGCGGTGAAGAAATACCACCGCTCTCTGATAGTCCTCGCAGGTATAGGTGGGGAAATTGTTTCGCGTAGGTAGTAGTTTCTGGGAGTTAATCCATTGATTACAACTCCAGAGAAGCTAAATAAACTTTTAAGTAGTAATAACGGCGACTCGTTAGCGGTCGCTGGGCTAGCACATTCCTTACCCCTGAAGATGGTTAATGCTCGATCCGGCCACGTAGTGGTTCGCCTTCGAAGTTTCCGTCGTTTGCCATGTACGACCTACTGCGACCACCGAACTCTCACAAGTCTGCTAACGAGGTCTGTATGAGAGCAGGCTGATGTACTGAGACCGAAACAGGACTGCAACTCCATACGAGCTCGCTCACACAAGCACTTGCAGGCGACGCATAGCCTGGTGCTGTGATCGATAAAAAGCCAACAGTGCCGGCGTCTCCACACGTGCGAATTTTGCAAATTGCACCCATATGCCTGTCGGTGTACGATACCATTGTGTTGCTACTGCGCTCAGGGAGTCTGTTACACTTCGCGTATATCCTATTTGGCGTAGGTGCGTCGTCGGATCATTTTATTCAACCACAGAGCAATTCTCAGCCTTCTTAGGGGTAGCAACGCACCGTGCCCGTTTCGTTTTGCCTTGAAGTTCCAAGCTGGTGGAACAAGCAATAGTTGGGAAGGAATGCCGAGGCTCAACGGGGCCAGTCTGTTCTATTCTGCAACCAAGTCGATGGGGTCGTCATTTCTACGTGGCTGGAAATTTCTGATTTCAGCCAACAAGATATGGACCAGAGGGTTGCCTGGCAGAGTTTTTGACTCCCATTCGATCCCCAACTGGCCTGCGTTCTGATCGCAGACCTTCCTGACCTTGGGTTGTGGAATGTCTGACAGGTCCGTGTTGGCCGCCGTGATCCTTCGATATTCCGCCATTGGTTTTGAGCGGATGAAGAAAACACTTGCGTATTAGTACCTATATGGCCGATTTGCAGGAAGGCTGTTGCCGGAGGGGCATGGCGGTCGAATATTAAATTGCATGACAGAATGTTATGTGGGATTGCGCAGTTTGTAATTGTTGAAAAGAACAGCTTGGACTTTTCTTTGTTTATCTTTAGATTTGTTTGTTGACACACTACTCGCGTACGTCAGATTTGCGCCATTGAACCGACATGTTTTGCAGTCCACCTGCCTTTTAAAATATCCAAGGTATAACAGCCTTCTTTCACTTGCTGGCCAGGGCGGCCACACACTAGCCTTTTGTTCGCTTGCCAACACAGCCACCAGAGTCGATTTTCGACACTGCTCCTGCCTTCGAACCGGCGTCACAGTGACTACAGGCAAACGCACGAACTGGTCGTTCACGCATGAAATGCGTGAACCAACTTTTCATTTGTTAAAAACTTCAAAGGAGTAGCAGTCTGAAAGGTAGTGTTGCATTGAAGAGACTCCCGTTAGTCCGTTTTCAAGGTCCTTGGATGCCCACATCGTAGTAGCCGTTGGACAACTCAGTCATCCCCGCTACCGAATGTCTGAAAGATACAGTCGAGTGTCTACTTCCATTCTGGTTCGACGAGATTGTTCCAGTCATAAAGGTAGGCGTATCGCGATCTCAATATCTTTCTCATCTACTGTTTCGTCTAGACTCAGTTTCGAGATAAGTCATTTGTCCGAAAATCCTTTGGTTACTGTCGCCACATGCTTCGAGTTTTCGGCATTTCTAAGCTTCGCAAATCGCACGAACATTATCGTTGTTTGAGATTCGAATGGGAAGCGGTGCTTTGTTTGGCTAATGTCCTAACACCTACCTGTTGGTTTCGTTGACTTACCTAAGGTAGACCTAAATATGGCGACGCAGTGGACAATTTTCTAACGATTCGGTCGGCATGGTTGTACAGTCAGTGCTACTGTTGGTGTTTACTTTTCTACTTGCCATTCACGCTGCTCCGAAAGCGGACCACGCGGTAGATGCGCTAGGCCAACACAGGGGGCTAGATCGGAATTCGGTCGACGTTATCGTGAATGCGCGCCCATAACAATTGCCAACACTAGGATGTAGTCGCCGGTCCAGTTGCCGGCTCACCCTGCGCCAATTGGCATCCCTGCAGCCCTCATATTTGTGTTCCGGTATAGAATCCTGGCCAGTGTCCGTTGCGGATCAGGAGTTTTTGGCGGTAGGCCGTAGTGCGGGTTTTCGCCTTGCCAGCCATCTGAGTCCTCTCGCGCCTCCGGTCACCTTGACTGTCTTGAAGCCCGGCCCAGGTGGGCAGGAGAGAGTGCGGTGGCTACCGAACAAGTCTATTATCACTATAAAATAATTCACGCGCTAGTCACCGTCCCTGCTCTCACCCTGTTGTGGAGTACACGGCGGACGTCGATGAAGTCGACGGTTGAAGTATCATTAGCCTCTAGTTAATGTCCGTCTGGTGAGTCCGCAAACAGACACAGGAATCAAATAATCATAATTCCTCAGCTCTTGCCACATTTCCGTTGACACTCAAGACCTAGCCAGATTTCTGAAGGATTTGAAAAAGTGTGGATTTCCTGGTTGAGAAGTGTTTGCAAACGCCACCAGGAAGCGACTGGCACCATCGGCGTCAAATGTGAATGGGCTAATATTTTGCGGAAATCAACGGCATTCACTAGCGACCTCAAATAGACTCGCCTTCTTCGACGAATGTGGTGTCCTGGGACGCAAAGCTGAGTGTGACTGGCAAGACTTGAGCATTGCCGGTGGTAGCAGTGGGACACTTTTACGAATCAGCTTTATTTTGATTATGGCCCCTCCCCGGTAATTGTAATTCCCAGTGTACACCTCCGCCTTGTTTACGGCGTCATAACTCTTGAATTAGCGGAATGTTTTTATCAGTTGTCCGGCTTCCTGGGCTTTGGTACTGCGTCCCTTCAACACTTCCTCGACTGAATTGCTTATTTGTTTGTGGGCAAATGAATGATTACTCATCCCTTGAGCGACGAAGTTAGAACATGGGACATGCACTTAGCGCAATTGTACTGCGGAGTAAGGTGGATTATGAGTCCAAAAGCGTCCTCTAAAGGGACTCCCAGTCAGCCGGGCTTCCGGTTCAGTGAGA